TCATTACACTTTCAATTATGTAACAGCTAATAATAGAGGTATGACTTTTATAAGGAGGAGTTAGAACGCACAATAGAAAAAAAAAACTGTTAAGTGAAAGCATTCGTTATCTATTGTTTTTTTTCTGCTAAATACAGTTTCTTTTTTGGTCGTTTTTTGTGTATTGAAGACGAGGATGATTTTATTTTATTGCTTCCTCATAAAGGAAGCTTTGTATTTTTTTTAAAATTAGATGTGAGTGACTCTTATATAAATATGTGAATCATCAAAAAATTTCATTCATAAAATTTGTTATTCAAAACAAAATTTTGTTAATGGATTACGTATCTATAGTTGCTCCCAAAAAATGTTTCAAACCTACACTTTAATTTCTACTAATGTGATGCATTTAAAAATCATTGTTGGTAAAGACAATGTTTTGGAATACAAAAAAAAAATTATAACTAAGAATAAATAACTAATGTTCAATCATTTTCTACATTATAATTAAAAAATAATAAATTAATTGTTAATATATTTATTGTTTAACTATAACAATTAGATATTTTCTATGTCAATTCTATTAATAATTAGTAATTTTCTATTAATTAATTATTTTCTAGTTCTACTAATAATTATTTTTTATACTAAAAATTATTTTCTGCTAATAATTAGTTATTTTCTACTAATAATTTTTTATTTTTTACTAAAGAGTATTTTTTTTTATTTATAATTTATTTATAAATACTAAAAATTATTTTTCTACTGTAACAATTAGTTTTTTTTTTACTAATAATGAGTTAGTTGCTTCTTATAATTCTCGGCTACTGTTTTTATTTCTTTATTTTTTTTTATTTATTATTCTCTCTTCATTTTATTTCACTAGGGAATTAAAAATTAAAAATTTTCCAGCAGAAATTTTTAACTTAAAACCGTCGAAAAAATTGGTATATTTTTTTTTTTTTATTAGGAAAAAAAATATTTGTCCATCCGTTTGAAAAATATAATAAATTCTCCTTCAATATAATTACTATTTCTCGGACGTAAAAGATTGATTAATAATAAATAATAATTTTCTAATAATAATCGAAAAGTAACTTTTTCTCTTTATTTAAAGAAAAAAAAAATTATTCCAAAAATTGAAGAAAATTACGTTGGGGTTCGAAAAGTGCGTCATCAGGTGTTAAAAATAACTTTCCATTTCAAAGTATACACACACTTAAGTATGGTGTTAAAATAATAACCGAGCTTATTGATTATTTAACTAGGACACAAACATATTTAGGAATACAATGTGATTACAATATAGCCCTACAATAATTTACCATATCTTATTAGTTTATCAGTAATTTTCTCACTAGTGGATGGAATATAATATAACTTTGAAAATAGAAATGTCTTTTTGATTGCGTTATTATTAATGTGGAAAGTATATTGATTTCCCCCGCCACACAAAAAAAAATATAACCAGGTGTATATGTATAAATATTGGCTCTTAAAACACTGTATACAAATGTGTCTTGTGAATAAATTGATTAGACAAACTATGTGTCTTCGTTAATTTATAATATACTGAATCAATAAATCTATATTAATAAACATAACATATTTTCCTTAAATCAATACCATAACTCACTCTAAAAATTATTATATTATTTTTTTTTAATTCAATAATATTTAATTATAAATTTATTTTATAAATAATTTTTTATAAATAATATTAATTATTACTTTTATTAGGTAATATTTATTAATTATTTTATTTATTAATAATTTACTTATTCATTTATTTAAAGTACATCACGGTAAATCGTTAGGTATTAAAATAACACCAAAATGGATTAAAATAACACTAAATTGGATTATTTTAATTCTTTTTGGTGTTATTTTAATACCTAACGATTTACCGTGATACCTACGTGCAAACATTAGAAAATTTCAATTATTTAGAAATTTATCAATTACTTTTTTCAAAAACTTAAATATTTCAGAAGAACAAAAATTAAAATTTTGAAAAAACGTAACTTTTCCCTGAATTTTAAATAAAATACTTCAAGATTTCAATTATTTTTAAAAAATGTTTGTAAAATTGAATAATTTCAAATAAATGCAAAGGAATATTTATATTTAAAAGTATAGAATTCAATTATTTTCATAAATAATAAAATTCTTCACAAAAATTCAATTATTTTCAATTTTTTAATAAAAATTCTCAAAAGAATTAAATTATTTTAAAATATTTGGATTAAATTCTTTATATAAGAATTTAATTATTTAAAATACAATTATAATTAATGTCCTGCAAAGAATTCAATTTTTCAATTAAAAATTATCAAAAAGAATTCAAGTATTTTTAAAAAATTGAAAAAAATTCTTCTATAAAATTCAATTATGAAATTTTTGTTAAAAAAATTCAAAAATCAATTATTTTTACAAATAATAAACCACTTCTTACGAATTCAATTTTTTTCGTAAAATTTAAGCAAACTCTTCTGAGAAATTCAATTATTTCTGAAAATTAAAATAAAATTTTTTAAAAAATTGTTTTGTTTTCAAAAATATTGAAAAAATTATTTATAAAATTAAACTTATTTAATTGCAATTTAAATTAAATTTTTCCATAGAATTCAAATATTTTCATAAAATTTTAATTATGTAATTCAATTATTTTCAATTTTTTTATTCTGGAAAAAATTCAATTTTTTTAAAAATGTTCAAATAAATTTTGAGAAATTCAATTTTTTTTAAAAAATTATAATAAAATTCTCGAAAAGAATTCAATTATTTTCAAAATTTTGGCAAAATTCATTATTAATTTCAATTCAATTATTTTTCAATTCAATTCCTTTTACTAATAATGAAACTCATTGCAGGATTTCAATTCAATTATTTCTAATTTTTTAATGAAATTTCTCAATGAAATTGTATTATTTTCAAAAAGTTTAAAGAAATTCTACGAGAAATTCAATATTTGTTGAAAATTATAATTTTCTTGAAAATAATTCAATTATTTTCAAAAATTTTGACAAAATTCTTGATAAATTTCAAGTGAATTATTTTTCAAAAATTCAATTATATTTTCATGAAGAATAAAAGTCATCGCAGGAGTTTAATTATTTTTAATAAAATTTTTAATTTAAATAAAATTCTTTGTCAGAATTCAATTATTTCCAATTTTTTAATAAAACTTCTCAAAAAAATTGAATTACGTCTATTTTCAAAAACACTTTCAAGAAATTTTGAGAATAATTCAATTTTTGTTATAAAAAAATTTAAATTTTTTAAGTAATTCAATTTTTGTTATAAAAAATTTAAATTTTTTAAATAATTCAATTATTTATAACATTATTGTTTCTACATTTCAATTAAATTATTTTTATTAAGTAAAATAAAATTTATCTCAGAATTAAAATTATTTTAAAATTTTAATAATAGGCACAATTTTAAATGAATTTCTCAAAAAATGCAATTATTTCTAAAAATTTTAATGTAAATTTTTCGATAAAATTCAATTATTTATTTATTTTCAATACAATTTACTAGAATTTTTCTTATAAAAATTTAATTATTTTCCAAAAAATTTTAATAATAATAAGAATAATAATAATATTTTTAAATCAAACCCAATAATTTTGATTCATTGCATACACTGAGAAAACTACATATATTTGAATCAAATATAATTATCTTTGTTATACAGTCAACTAAAAATTATCTTTGAATTAAAAATAATAATTTTGACTCAATCTAATAAGTTTAATTCATTAAAAATTATGTTTAATTCAGTTATAAAATACGTTTAATTGAAACATATTTTTTTTTTTGGTTGACTACTTATTTTTGAAATTAAAAAAAAAAAATTCTTCTCACAGTGTAATAATTTTCCCCCAATGAAAATTACGTATAATTCAATAATAAAATATTTTTAATTCAAAAATATATAGCCAAATACAAAGCCACAAAAATTTTTTTGTGGTTGTCTATTTATTTTTGAATTAAGAAAATTTTTTTCTCAGTGTAATTGCTAAAAAAAAATAACATTCAAAAATATGTCAAATTTCACTAATTGAATTAGTTACAAAAAATTTCAGTTATTTTTACACAAACCTAAAAGTAAATTTAACTAATAATAACAATTAGCTACTTTTAACTTTTTTTATTATTTTATTATTTAACTTTTTTTTATTTCAATTATTGACTGACTTTTTGCTATTATCAAAATTAGTAATTTTTAACATAATACTTTAGAGAATGTACATACATATTTACAATCTGTGAAAATTCTATTCCCGTAAAATTGTTTTCGAATTCAAAAATCTATACTTTACTAAACGGAAATGCAAAGTTCCATGTAGTATCATTTGCCTGTCAGTTCAATTTTTTTTTTTTAATTTTTTGAATAGCCTTGTATTGTACAAGAGCGTAAAGGTAACATAAGAAGTAAATTTCGGAATGAATGACGCCTCCAGAGACCGTTTTCTCGAGTGAAAAATCGTAGAAACATGCGGCATTCAACATTTGATGTTCGCATAATCATGTATGGTTCCACCCACAAAGTTGAGGCTTCCCAGGATTTCTTCAAAGGCCCTCTCTCTCTTTCTGTTCCTCTCTCTCCTTTTCTGTTCTTCTCTCTCTTTTTCTGTTCTTCTCTCTTTTCTTCTTTCTGTCTTTCTCTTTCTCTCTCGCTCTTTCTGTTTTTCTCTCTTTTGCTTTTTATGTCTTTCTCTTTCTCTCTTCTTCTTCTTTCTGTTCTTCTCTCTTTTCTTCTTTCTGTCTTTCTCTTTCTCTCTCACTCTTTGTGTCTTTTTCTGTCTTTTACTCTCTCTCTCGCTCTTTCTATTTTTTCCCTCTCTTTTTATTTTTTTTCTCTCTCCTTTTATTTTTTTTTCTCTCTCTTTCTATTTATTTCTCTCTCTTTCTATTTATTTCTCTCTCTAGACTACAGGATCTCAGAGGTGAGTCCGCAGGTAAGTGACTCGGTTATTCGGTCCATTCTAACCACCCAGTAGATGCGGAGTCTGCCCCGGCAAGGTGAGTGTATAAGAGAATTCCCTGGGCCCGGTTCGCCGTCGAAGGAGAGGAGGAATGAAAGGCAGCAACCAGCAGCAGCAATAACAACAGCAGCAACAGCAAAGTAAAGGAGGTAGAGAAGCCAGAAATCCCGCTCACCGGCGCATTTTACCTCGGGCCTCGGCACGGTCCGCACTCGGTCTCTCTCTCAATCACCACCACCACCACGTAAAATATAATAAAACTCCCCTCAACCTTCAGGAACGCATACTTTCTCCGCAACTCCTATTTTTTACAACTCTCCAATTTTTTCTCTCCTCAGTTCTCTCTGTGCTGTATATGTGTGTCTCTATAAGTTCGTGTGTGACGACAATATTCGTGTCTTGTGCTCCAACAGTGACCACCTTTTTTTTACTTTCCAAAAGAAGGTACTCTCAATCTAAATTCTCAATCTAAATTTATCTCAAACTCTTATTTTTAAAAGAGTTTGATTTTTTAGAAGAGTGTTTGTTCTCTATACATTTTTGAGAAGGAAAAGATTTTTGAATTCTGTTTTCGAAACAGGAAACAACTGAGAAGTGTTTTGTTTCACCGTAGTTTCGAAAATTCGGAGGAAGAAGAAAAAAGTGTTTCGAGCGGTACTGTTTTTTCAAATCTGGAAGAAGGAGAACCGAAAAGTGGAACTAAAAAGTAGAATCAAGAAGGAGAACCAAAAAGCAGAACTAAAAAACCAGAATCTAGAAGGAGAACCAAGAATCAGAATCAAAAAGCAGCATTAAGAAGGAGAACCAACAATCAGAATCTAAAAACAGAACTAAAAAGCACAAGCAGAAAGCAGAATCCATAAGGAGAAGCAAAAAAGCAGAACTAAAAAGCAAAACCAAGAATCAGAACCAAGAACCAGATTCAAAAATCAGAAAAAGCATCATCAAGAAGCAGAACCAAGAATAAAAAATCACAACTAAGAACCAGAATCAAGAAGAACTAAAAATCAGAATCAAGGAGAACCAAAAAGCAGAAAGAACCAAAAAACAGAAACAATAAAGAAGAACCAAAAAGGAGAGTTGAGAACTTGGAAAAGCTGTGAAAAAAAACAGAGGAGGAGCGTTGCCAGGGCAACAACAACAACGAGAGCTAGGCGCGATAATTCGCGCTGGTCGCGAGGACGAGTGTTGTTGTCTCTTTATTCAAAGTGAACTTTATGACCCGTGGTGTGTGAGTGCGACGACACGGCAAAGTGCTTGCGGTGGTGTTTGTGCATGAGAAATAATGCGGTAGGATCATGAGGATCCAGGAAAGATGGTTTCTGATCGCGACGGCGGCTGTTTGCTTCCTAGGCGCGGTTTTCTGTGCCACGGACGCGAACACATGGACCACGACACCCGGTGAGTTTCTTTTTTTGTTTTTGTTTTTTTCACCTCCAAAGCGAATATTATACAAAAGAGAGAAAAGAGAGGTTATATTATCAAATCTGCGTGGGACGCAGAATATGGTTCTGGAGAACGCTTCGAAACAGCGCAGAGAAAATTTCTCTCTCTCTCTCTCTCTCCCTCTCTTTCTTTCAAGACCAAAATTCTCTCTCTCTTTCCCTCTTGACACGGAAATATGGAAATTTTATCGTATTTTACTCTAGGCATCTTATCACTCTAGGCATTTTATCCCTGAATTTTAAAAAGTCCCACTTTATTGATGGAGAAATAGGAATATTTTCTTCTTCTTCCGTATGATATAAAATCTCAAGTTAACTGCCGTGAAATGTCATCGTCGTCATCATTGAATTCATACGATTCTTTGAAGAGTTTATGCGGAATTTATATTCTACCCGGAAATTACAGAAAACCGTTTTTCAGTTTCGTATTTTAAAAAATTGTCCCAAAGTTCCGAAAAAGAAAAGTTCGGGACAAGAACAACGAAAAATTAATTTCGCCTTTGAATTAAAATTTTATCCTCATTATTTTATGTCACTACAAAATAATTTAACAGTATGTACTATTTAATTTAATAAAAAATTGTTTTTAAATATTAAATTTGTCCCCAAAGTTTTAAACGTTCAAATGAACGAAACATTTTCAAATTTAAGGTTAGGTTTTACAAATTCTCTCCAAAAATTCTTTCTGCCCGAAAATTATTTTTCAATGCCAACAAAAATATTATTTCTTAATTAGTATGCAATATTATTATTTATTATAATTTTTTTCACACCTGACGCAAAATATAATTAAAATTATAAAATAATAAATAAAACAATAAAAATTATAAAATAATAAATAAAACAATAAAAATTATAAAATAATAATAAATAAAATAATAAAAATAGTAATAAAATGATAATAATAATAAAAGTTATTTTATTTTTCATTTATTTTTCATTAAAACCACTTTTATAAATTTTTCATTCACAGTTTTTCAAAGAATATCAAATTGAGATAAAAAAAAAATGCATCAAAATTGTTGCGAAGCAGCGTTTTTTGTCTCAATTTAATGGCCTTAAAAAATCTGTGATAGTAATAAAAATTAGAAACTTAAATTTTAATAATATAAAATTAAAATAAATAAATAATATTGCACTATGTAATAAATAATTTATTATGATCTACAATTTTTTATTTCCGTTTTTTATTTTAAATATAAAGTCAGTAACACAGTTTTTCTAAGGATATCAAATTGAGACAAAAAACGAATCAAAAGTGTTGCGAAGCAACATTTTGATTCATTTTTTGTCTCAATTTGATATCTTTAGATATACTGCGAATTTTTGAAAATATTTTTTGTGGAATAAATTTTGCCTCAAGTGTAAAAAAATTAATTATATATTTTCTAATTACTTAATTTAAATTTTTATTTATTATTTTATTTTCATTTTCTATTTATTTTATTTTGTTTATTATTTTATTTATATTTTATTTTCATTTTATTTTCATTTTATTTTGATTATTATTTTATTTATTATTTTATTTATTACTTTATTTATTATTATTTTATTTTTATTTTATTCCATTTTCTATAACGATTTGTCGCTGCTAATTGTCACTGCGACATTTGATTTCTAAGGTTATTTCGCGGTTGCGTTTTTTATTTTTTATTAATTTTTTTTTTTTTTTTTTTGCAAAAAACCAGTATTCTGATATTTTTTTTCTAAAAAGTGGTAATAATATTACGTTATTGTTACACTTTTTTCATATTTTTTTCCTTTTTTCTTTTTTTTTTTTTTATTGTCTATTATATGCATACTGAAACATTAAATCACGCTATTTTCTAATGCACTGAATTACGCGAGAGGCAATTTGAACGAAAAGAAAATATGAACATACCGTATGCGTTTTCTAATTAATTATCTCGTTAAATGTTCCATTACTTTTCAGTATTATACATCTCCAGTATAATAATTGATGCAATAGTGTTAAATTAAATAATAACTAATAACTGACTAAAATTATATAAAACGATAAAATAGAGAAAAAAAGATAATTAAAAAAATTATAATCAAAGTAGGTATATTCAGCCTTCTGCAATATTTCAATCATTTTAATTGGCATTTTTCTCTTCTTTTTTTTGTCAATTATCAACATACCAATATACCAATATTTGTAATTAATATTTTCCTAATTAAATATGATGTATTTCAATTTAATTAAGAAAATATTAAATAAATCAAGTGGACGTAATTAATAATTAAATCGTGTATTTTGAAAATAATTTAATTTTTTTCGAGAATTTTATTATGTGATTTAAAAAAAAAATTGAATTTCTCAGAATTTTTCTAAACTTTTAGAAAATAATTCAATAATTGAATTGAAATTTATAAAGAAGTTGGTAAAAATTTTAAAAATAATTCAATAATTGAATTGAGATTTATAAAGAATTTTATCAGAATTTTAAAAATAATTCAACAATTGAATTTAAATTTGTAAAAAATGCAGCCAAAATTTTGAAAATAAAAAATTTATTCAATAATTAAATTGAAATTTATAAAGAATTTTTCCAAAATTTTGAAAATAATTCAATTCGCTTTTCAAAAATTGAATTTCTCAAAATTTCTTTAAACTTTTCGAAAATAATTAAAATTCAATAATTGAATTGAGATTTATAATAAGAATTTTGTCAAAATTTAAAAAATAATTCAATAATTGAATTGAAATTTACAAAAAATTTTGTCAAAATTTAAAAAATAATTCAACAATTGAATTTAAATTTGTAAAAAATGTTGCCAAAATTTTCAAAATAAAAAAATTTATTCAATAATTGAATTGAAATTTATAAAGAATTTTTCCAAAATTTTCAAAATAATTCAATTCGCTTTTCAAAAATTTTATTATAATTTTTATCAAAAATTGAATTTCTCAAAATTTCTTTAAACTTTTCGAAAATAATTAAATTTTATCGAGAAATTTTATTAAAAAATTTTAAAAATGTAATTGAATTCTAAGAATATTGTATTAAAATTTTTTGAAATTAATTGAATTTGAAAAGATTTAAATTGCAATTTCAGAAAATTTTAATTTCAATTGATTTTAATTAAAAATTCTAAAAAAAAAGATGGTTTTTGAAAAATTTTTAAATTTCTTTTTAAATTAGTTCAATTTTTGAACGTAATATTTAATTCGAAAATTTTTAAATTATTGAAATATCACGAAATTGATTTAATATAAAATTGTATATTAAGTGGATTTCAGAAATAATTTATATGATCTTTTTATTTCCATTCAATAAATAATAATTATTGAATTCTCAAGTAACTTTCTCGAAAATTATTAAAAAATTAATATAGACAATCAGAAGTATTTCAGTTAAAAATTCCATAAAACAATAATTGAATTGTAATGTAAAAATAATTTTAGTATAAATCTTTTAATAATTATGAAAACTTACTAAGTAGATTGTCTTCTTTTATAGACATTGAATCCCGAAATGCAAAGTTATAACATTTCCGCTTATTATATCTTCATATTCTTGTCAAATAATCCGATTTTTATTTATTTTTTGTATTAAGTATATAAAATCATTTTCCTATATAAATTGTGAGGCGCAATTTCAAAATCCTCTCAAATGATTAGTTCAATTTGTTATAGTTATATAATACTTGTATAAATTAATACTCGAATAATTATTTTGCTATCCTTGGCATTAGCGGGATATGTATTAATTACGACATTTAATATATGATGCAACAAGATACTAATTCTACCGACAACTATAAAATTTTGTGATAATCAGAAAATATCTACTCCTTTGACTTTGTAAACAAGTATTAAAATTTTAAAAATACATTTATCTACCTGTTAATTGGATCGTAAATTCAAATTTAGTAAATGGTATTTAAAAAATTAGTATAAAAACTAGTATAAAAAATAGTATAAAAATTAGTATTTAAAAAATTATTTTTGGAATTATAAATTAATACTATAATTATATTATTAATTAAATTATAATCCACTGACCATGGAGAGTAGTTAAAATGAATTTTTGAATCAAAAATCTGTTTCTGTTTCAAAATTTCAAAAGACCGGAAATTTTATTTATAGTTTCATGAAACAGTAAAAGTTGTTTACTATTTTTTTTCGGTTATTTTAATTCATTTTTTTTTTCAGTTACGAAAGAGTCGTAAACGAAAAAAAATTTTATTAGAAAAACCAAATTTTGAATAAATATTTCAAAAATGTTTTCCATATAAAAAAAACTTTGAATATCGTTTGCTTTTTTGTTAGCTTGTTTATTAATATTTAATATTCAGTCTCGTGAAATGAAATTCGATATTTTTTTTCAAAAGAGGATTTAAACAGAAAATAAAAATAAAAAAAGAATCAGGGACTTGAAGGGCCTTAGGCGACAATAAATATGCTATATAGGATTAGTGGAGCAGATTATTTAAAAAGTAGGACAAGATTAAAGGTTCACCTGTGTGCCTTCTACCTTGAGACGAGATTCGCCATAATTTCATTTTTTTTTTTTTACTTTTTCTAAACTCTAAATATATTGTTGTGTGTAAATCATTCGCAAAATTCTGCATAATGCAGAAAAATTTACATATTTATTAAAGTGAAGCCTGCATTTCTAAATTTAAATTTAGCATTGAATGGGAAAATTTATATTAGGTTTTGTGTATATATATAAGAAGGCTCTTTAAGTTTTGTTTCACCTAATTGTTTATTTTTATATCGACAACTTCCTTTAAAATTTACATTTTTACTCTAGCCGCAAATTGTTTCCTTCCTTGAAAATTAGCACTTTCAAAATAGAAACTACTTTCCACTGGAAATTACTTTCTTTAATACATATCACTATTTGTTTTAATGATCGTTTTTTTTTTAATTCAAATTTATTGATGGTTTATAATTGTTAATGGAAATTTATAAATTATTGATAATCATTTTTTTAATAACTAAAT